GAGCACTGCGTCGCAGAGGTGTTGCCTCTCCTTCTTCTAGCCTCCGCAGCTTCTCCTCTCAAGTCACCCTCTTTATTGGAGTCCTCGGAGTCTTGGACAGCTGCTGGTTCAACAACTGCTGCGAACTGCTTCTCCATGGAGTTGAAGGCACATACTGCTCCGGCTGATCATCACGCACATCGGCCTGCGTGGCTGGCTGAGGAATAGAATCTGTCTCTCGGGACTCCTCATGGTTAGGATTAGCTGGTTCTGGCTCCTCCTGCTGCTCCTCCCCTTCATCTCCAAGGTCCTCCCATGCCCCCTCAAAGATAGAGGCCGTATGAGGGTCTTGAATGGAAGTCCCACTTTGGCTTGTACCATGCTCCTTCCACCCCTTCAAATTCAGCCCCTCATGGAAAACCACATCACGGCTCTCCAACACACGCTGGTCAGCTACACTCCACAGCACCCAAGCCTTGCTCCTCTCATAAACCCCAATGAAAATCCCCCACTGTGCCTTAGGATCTAGCTTCCTCTTTTGCTGGTCAGGTACCTTATACTGTGCCATGCACCCCCACACTCGTGCCATGGAAACATTCGGCACCTTCCTTGTCTATAAGGAGTATGGGCTCTTGCCTCCAAGCCTCTTGCTGCCCATCCTGTTCTTCACCCAGTTGGCATACTGCACTGCTGCCCCCCACCAAGTATTATCAAGCTCGGCATGGGCAAGGATGGCCCGAGCCAAATCGGTCAAAGTCCTGTTAAGCCGCTCCGCTGCCCCATTTTGATGCGGCGTGTAAGGTACAGAGAGCTGGTGGGAAATACCATTTTCTTCCAAGAAGATTTGAAGTTCTTTCTCAAGGTACTCTCCACCCCGATCTGACCTTAACACCTTCACCTTGACCCCTGACTCCCTCTCCACATAGCGTATCCACCGCTTAAACACCTTTGCCACCTCATCCTTGGTCTTCACCAAGATGACCCAGCTAAGTCGACTGAAGTCATCAAGAAAGGTGACAAAGTATCTGCTGCCTTTTTTCCGGTCAGGAGTTTGCATCGGTCCACACACATCCGTGTGCACCAGCTCAAGGGGAGTCGAGGCATGATTAGAGGAGATAGGGAATGAGGTTTTAGGCAGCTTTCCACATGTGCAGTCAGGACATTTTCTTTGCTGCCCAGCTCTTTCCTTGACCTCCACCCCCTTCAGCTCCCCCTTCTTCACACACTCCAGCAGTTGCTGCTTTCCCGTGTGCCCCATGCGAAGGTGTAGCAACTCAGGTGACACCGTTTCCACCTGCCTCCAGCGAGTGCTACAAGCGGCTTCCTCAGAAAAAACCATATGTGCGTTGTGACAATTAAGCACACAAGCTGGAACAAGGTATAAACCCTTGTCCAGCTTTGCCTCCATCACCACAGCGTCACCCTTTCTAACAGTGCACCCTCTCTCAGTGAAAGTGCAGATGTATCCCTGTTTAGCCAGCTCTGAGCATGAAAGGAGGTTTGCAGCCAAACCAGGGACGTGAAGCACCCCTTGCACACCCACTAGCTCCCCCTCCTTCCCCTTAATGGTGATCATGCCGATGCCAATTGCCTGCAGCAAATCTCCGCTCCGAACAATCACGCTCCTATAGTTTGGCCGGAGAGGATGGTAGGAGGTGAAGAGATCACGTCGAGGTTGCTCCATAGTCTAGAACTAGGAAGTTGGGATCAGCCAATGCACGACCAGTGAGAGCTGCATCCTGCCCTAGCATGAGAAACGAGAAACCATCATCGGAGGAGTCGTCTTGGCCCTTCCCCTTCTCATCCTTAGCAGCTGCTGCCGTTGCTCCCTTGCTGCCCTTCTTATTCTAGAGCCTCTTCTTCATCATTTTCTCCACCCAATCAGGTTTGGTCACTGGTGGGGCCTCTCCAGAGTAGCCGTGAGGCTTCCATCCCTCAGGCCTACTCCAGCAACTCTTCCAAGAGTGTTTTTTGTTGCATTCGGGCACAAGGCATTTGTCCAACTCTTTCTTCTTTCCTCCACCTCTTTGCTGTTGATAGCCTTTTCTGAAGGAAGCTTTATCTGCTGCACCCATGCCTCCTTCTAGGCCTCTTCCAGCATCAACTTTGCGAGCCTCACCACAAATTAGAGCCTCTCAAATCCACACCTTGGTCCATTTCTGTTGCTCGAGGTGAAGGTACTGTAGTAATGCCTCATTGGCCGCTTGATCCAACCCTTAGAGCGCAGTATAGATGATCTCCTTCTCATCTACCGTGTAATCCAGCTCCTCCAAAACCCTCACATTTTCATCTACCCTCTAGAGATACTGAACCATGGTCTCCCTCTCCCCATAGTTCCGCTCCACGATGTAAAACCGCTTCCGCCAAGTAAGCATGCTTAGAAGCCCTTTCTACAAGTGCCTATCTTGCACTCTTTTCCAAGCTGCAGCTGTTGCACCTTCCTTCCCCTTCAGGTCAATCAGCATCTTAAGATGCTCAAGTTGCCCCTCCAAAGCCCAACACAGGTACTGAAATGCCTGGCGATCCTTCCGATCCCATGCTTCTTGAGCTTTAAGCAACTCCTCGCGACTTGGTTGCGACCTTCCGTTTCGAGTTGCAGCGGTTCCTCTTTCATTCCCCCCACTCGACGACACTCCCCCAGCCCCGGATCCCACTTGGCTGGTTGCTCCAGTAGACCCCTCCCCAAAGTCAGCTCGTGGTCGCTTCTCCGATCCATCCAACACTCTTTCTAGGTCCTTAATACCTAGCCATAGTGTGAACTGGAACCTCCATAGCGAAAAGTCCGAGCCGGTAAACCTAGGGCGGCCATCCAACTTTTGGGCCATGTCAAACCCTAGATCTGAAGCACTTCAAGCCTCTCTAGTTCTCTTCCAATGGAGGAAATAACGTCCTCTAACCGTGGCTCTGGTAACACTGATGGAAATCGTGCAAATCTGGAGAGAACTAATTAGAGATTAAGTCTGACGACTTCAACGGAACATTGCGTGCAGCTCAGGTAACTTCTAGAAATGAGATTATACGCGTTGGAAATGTCTTAATCTCTACTTTCCAGAATGATAAAGCACGTTCATAACCAAGATCTGAGCCGCCGATTATGAGGAAATCAGTGCGAGGGAATATTCTGGTAATTTGGCTAGGCAGCCATGAATCACCTAGTAAAAACGAGAAGGGAAGCAGTTAGATTTGGAAAAGTTCGAGTATGTGATTGTCAAACACCACCAACCTTTGCCCTAGACCAAACCCCAACACTCTCAAGTGCTACGACTGCAACATCAAAGATGTTGTAGTGGATTTGAGGTGTTATGGGTTGGAAAGGTAACGAGATCAAACCGTGCCAACAAACCCAAGTTCTTTTGCCCGAATTCCAATAGCCCACAACCAGCTAGAGCAAACTACACCCCAGAACACTACACATTTATCAAGAAGGGGAAGAGGAGGAAAAAAGGAAAGGAGGAGGAGAAGGAGGAGGAGAAGGAGGAGGGAGGAAAAGAGTAGCTGCACGACGCGTTCCAAGGAGGGATGCAGCGACGGACAGCCGCGCGCGGTCGGCGGAAGCGACGACGGACAACCGCACGCGACGGTGGCGAAATCGGCGACGGACAGCCGCGCGCGGCGGCGGCGGAATCAACGGCGGACAGCCGTACATAACGGCGGAATCGGTGGCGGCTGCAGCGGCGAGCACGTTCGCGATGGGCGGATTCGTCGGCGGGTGCACGCGGGTGCCGCGACGAACAGGCGCGTAGTGTGAGAGCGCGACGAACGAGTGCGCGCGGTGGCGGAGGGCGCACGACGGGAGGGCGCGGCAACGAGCCGCGCGAGGAGGAAAAGGGCGTCGAAAGACGCGAGAGGAGGTGCGCAACGGAAGGGAGAGCGGGCGCGATAGGAGGCGCGCGATGGGAGAGAGAGCGTGCGCGATGGGAGACCGCGTCGGGAGAGGGCGCACGGACGGCGCGCGAAGTAGCCTAAGAAGGGCTAGGCTTCGATGACGAGGAGGGACGGCATAGGGCCGTGCTAGTTAGGATCGATCATAGGTGGCGTGAGCCATTGTGGCTCTGATTACCACGAAGGAACTAGCTTTGAGGAGAAAATGATAGATTGAGTAGGGAGCCAAGAGACTCTTTTGTACAAACAAGGAGCAAGGAAGAGATGGAGGGGAAGGTCTCCCATTGGCCATAATGTAGACCAATAGGAGAGGTAGCTTGGAGGACAAGCAACCACAAAGTGTGGTGCTTTCCGATTGGCCACAATGTGGACCAATGGGGGAGGTTGCTTGGAAGGTAAGCAACCACAAAGTGTGGTGCTTGGTGATTGGTTGGGTCTTGGGACCAAGGACCATTTGGTTGGAATAGTGCCAACCAAATGTCTAGGATCGAATCCAATCTTGACCAACCCAAATGTGGGGTTAGTCAACCCAACCAACAACCCCCCAATAAATATAATGACTACACCTCCTAATCTAGGCATGCATGTTGTATACATATATATTTTACAACACGTCCACCATTCACCGTCCACCGACCACCGTCCACCATCCACAGGTGGACGGCGTCCACCGTCCACCGTCCACCATCCATCGATGAACGGCATCCACCGTCCACTGTCCACCCGTGGACGGGGTCCACCATCCACCGTCCACTGTCCACTGGTCGACGGCGTCCAGCGTCCACCGTCCACCGGTGGACGGCGTCCACCCGTCGAGCATCCACTGTCCACAGTCCACAGTCCACCGTCCACCGTATCACTTCCCAAGGTCTCACTTCCCAAGGTCTCACTTCTGTAGGTCTCACCTCCCTAGGTCTCACTTCCCAAGGTCTCACTTCCCTAGGTTTCACTTCCCAAGGTCTCACTTCCCAAGGCCTCACCTCCCGAGGTCTCACTTCCCGAGGTCTCACTTGCCGGGGTCTGACTTCATATCCGATGCCCTGATAGTCCAAGCGCGCTTACCCCATACCCTCATACCCCATGCCCTCATACCCCATGCACGGCTCTGCACGCACCTAGGCTGGGCGGAGCACACACACCTTGGCCGACACGAGGGTCAGCGGTCGAGCTTCCACTTTCACTCGCCCCACAGTGGCCGGCCAGGTTTGTCCTGTGCGCTCCACCACCAGCACTGTGCTGCCGGCTGTCAGCTCAGACAGGTACGCTGTGCGGCCGCCCGGCACGGCTACATAGGAATGCACAGGGCCCTGGGTTGGGGGAGAGGGGCGGGCGGGGTATGGTTGAGGGAGGAGGGGGTCGGAAATGTGGTGGTGGGAAGAGAGACAATACGTAGTGGAGGCGTTGTGTGAGATACGGTAATGGTGGGTGAATACATGCTGTAGAGGAACGAAACGGGTTAAAACAGCAGGTGGTGGACCGGTGGATGACGCAAGGAGATGGCAAGGTTGAAGAGATTGACAATGGGAGTTGGAGAACGGTCAGCAGCAGAGAGGGCGGACGAGATAGGAAGAGAGAGAACGGAAGAGCAAGGAGGGTTGGGAGGGGGGATAAGGGGGGGGTGGAGGAGGAGATGAGGGAAGGAGAAACAGTGGAAGAGTGTAAGCAGCAGGAGTTAGGAAAGGAGCGAGGGAGGGAAAGGGGGAGGGGAAGGGGTGGTGTGTGGATGGGAGCTGACAGCGTTGACTCTGAAGGGCCGTGAGGCGACATAGTCCGACTGCAGACACTCCGCATGCACGAGGAAGAGACCCCGCGCGAACGACCCAACCTGTGAGGATTCCATGTGAGGGCGGCGATGGAGGAACAGGGGGGAATGAGAGCGACCGGGTGTGGGAGGGAGGGCGCAAGGGAGAGGGAGAGAAGAGGCGTGAAAAGCAGACTGGACAGTGTTGGGTTAACAGGAACCAGGAAGGAACCGACAGCAAGGGGAAATAGTCCCACCCTCAGCCTCTTCTAGGAAACTGCGTTGCTCTCTCAACCACGCTAATAGTGTGTACGCCCTCCTGGTTTACCAGGATATCAGAATACGAAGTATCATCTCACCAAGTCTCTGGTGTGAGCCCCCTGTGCGTACCAGCAGGCCAGCCCCAGGGGGCAGCAGGGAGCAGAGGTCCACGCACACACGGTGCCCCATGCCAGCAGCAGCCACGGCTGTCACTGTGGCCGGCACCAGCGCCACCTGGGAGGCTGTGCGGGACCGCAGAGACAGGTAGGACTGGCCTTGGGGGGGTGGGGGGTGGAGTGGAGAGGAGGGAAGCAAGAGGAAGAAGAGAGTAAGCAGTGGGCTAGGGAACAGGTGGCAGGGAGGCATGGAGTGTTTGACTGAGAGCAAGACAACCAGGGAAGTATGGGGCAAGATGGTGGGCCAAGGCAGAGAGAGTGCACATGAGAGGGAGATGGGAAGGGTGTATGGGACGGGATAGGAGGGTGCAGTGCGAGGCGAAGGAAAGGGAACATACCTTGAGAGAGAAGACATGTGTGGGGTCTGATGTGCGCAGCACAACCCCATCCAACCCCACCTCCAGGGACTGCCGGAGAAGACGCAGTGAGTGGGGGATGGGACAGGGGAACAAGGGGGAAATGACATGGTGACGGGAGTGAGCAAGAGAGGCAGGGACGGTGGGAAAAGGATGTAGAGGCAGGGGCGGTGGACAGGTAAGAGCATTGGCTCTTTCAGTACTTGACTAGGTTGGCATTAGGGGTTTAAGCGAGGATGAACAGTAACAACAACCGACACCCGACGCCCAACGCACGACGTCCAACACATGAAACCTGATAACCCATGACCGACAAACTACGATCGACCACCGACAACCGACACCCGACAGCCGACAACCGACAACCGACAGCTGACAGCCGACAGCCCACACCCTGCGAGCGACGACCGATGACCGACGACCGACGACCGACAACCGCAACCGACAATCGACAACCCCTAACCGGCAACTGGCTAGTGACAACCGACAACCCCAACCGACCACTGACAACCACTAGAATAGGGCTAGCAGTAAAAGGTCAAGGATACTGAGCATGGAGCGGACAAGAAGAGTTCCGTAAGCAGGGGAGCAGGAGCCAGGTACAGCAAGAGTGAGCAGGACAGGGAGGGATCCACTAGAGGCGATTAGGCACGGAGGAGCAGATCTCTATCAGCATTTGTCTGGAGCCGTGGCGCAATGATAGAGGGAGAGCGAGGTGAGGGCATATGGCAAGAAAGGGGACCAGGAGAGGGGCAGCTGACCTCTAGAAGCACTTGGGCGTCTTGAGCCGTAGTGGCCACCCCCAAGATAGACGTGCGCGTGGGTGCAAAGGCTGCCACTGCATTCTCTGCTGGAATCACCTGGTGGTGCAGAGAGAAGGGGGAGGGGGATGAGGAGTGGGGGGCAGGGGAAGGGAGGATGAGATGAGCAGGCTGGTTCCTCGGCCACCAGATGCCCACTGCACCAGCAGGAAGCGCTTGGGATGAGCATTCCTGAGATAGTTGCTCTGTTCACACTGGAAACACTTCTGGCAATGTAGTGCACTTTCAGTTCTCGAGTCCAGTGCATATGGCTTATGGCCTGCCCAACAGCCTGTACACAGCACCCTGCTTCCCAGGGCTTGGCACTATCACCAGCACTGCTATCCTTCCCCAACTATCCACAACCCCCTCCGCGCCCCATCACCCACCACATCCACCCCACCACCCGCCCACTGACCTTCCAGTCCTCTGCATCCATGACCACCACGTCCTCCTGCCCGGCCAGTGCACACATTGCCTCCTGCTCCCCCGCGCTCGACACGCGCACCCACGCCGCTACTCTCTCCCCTCCTGTCCCGTACACTGCCCCGCCTCTCCTCGTCACCACGCGCACTCGACCCAGTTCTGCCAGGGGGCAAGGTGTGGGGATCGGGAGGGTAGGGGGGGAATAACCTAGACAGAGGTTAGGGGGGATTCGGGTGAAGCGGCCACTTCTGCGATTCTCGCGCGCCCCCTCTCCCGCTCCCGTTTCCCCCCCACAGCACTGTGTTCCAGGCGTTGAGATTTGGGGTCAGAGGGATCCAACAGGGGAGAGGGTGTGCAGAGGGGAGGATGAGGAGACCAGAAGGGAGGCGGGCCAGCGGAGTGAAGATGCGGGCGGGCGGAACAAGGACTACCACGTGCGCTGCATTGCACCGATTTGGGTGCGTTGCGAGAAGGGCTGTAGGACGCATGAAATGGCACATCACAGACCGCAGCCCGGCAAGCCACCGCATTACATACTCTCGAAGGCTTCTCGTGTTTCCTCCACCGAGCGCGCACTCCCCTCCGTTATCTCCTCCCCGTCCTTCGCCCCCTTGCGCTTCGCCTTCTTCCCCGCTCCGCCGTCCCCCTCTTCCTCCACCCCCTCTACCACAACCGTCCCCCAACCCGCCTCCAGCGCTGCCGTCACCACCTCCTTTGCTTGCGTCATCACCCACACCACCTTGTCGCTCCGGTTGCCGCCATTCGTCCCGCTCGCTGTCGCATCCGTCGATTTAGCTGTCGTCGCAGATGGCACGTGCGACGCCATGCGGCGAGCCGCAGTACGGATTCTGCTACACGGCTGCCACGCGCTCGAGCACGGATTCTGAGGCGTCCCAAAAGAGTTCGCGTGCGAGTGAGCGTCACGTCCAATGCGGTAATGGGGAATGACGCGCGGACAGGCGGAGGAGGGTAACGCGGAGAAGGAAAGGGGAGAGATCGAAGAAAGAGCTTGGGTTTGAAAATGGCGATGAGGAAGAGGCAAGGGGGTCATGGCGGAAGGACTAGAAAGTGGATTTGGCGCTGAGAAATGGCGGGAACGATGAATCTGTCATTAGCCAACGACACTCATGATCGCACATACTTGTCAGCAGCATGCTACCCAGGCCATATGCTACCCAGACCATATGCTACCCAGACCTAAGTCTCTTCCTGAAGCAGATAGTGATAGCCTTGCGAAAGTGTACTATGCACTGTAGATGTATGGTAAAAATTATGATGTTTCGAATACTGTAGCTGTCTAGATCACCTCGACAATAGATATTACAGTTTGCAATTGTAAGGAATTACGATTCCTTACTGGGGCTCGCCACAGCGAGTACACGCGAACCTCTCGGTTCCGCAGGCTTGGCCCTTGGTTCTCGCGCCAAACCAGCCCCCGTCGACCTTTTCGGCCCCAACCTGATCCCGAGTCGCCCCGAACCCATTTTGACCCCGTCACCCTCAGAGCTATCGTGTTAGAATGCAAGAATGAATTACTAGGTGGAGATTACCGCACATATAGCTGTTGGGTTTGTACTCACTAGGAACACACATCTACACTAGCCTATAACTTCTACATGCAGCACATGTATAAGTTGACACACCCCATAGGCTAGAGGAGGGGTGGTGCTAAGTAATAAGCACACAGCTCAGGGCGGCACTACTAGTCCAACCACTGAGACAGGGGTCCAGAGACCAGTCAACAGGAGTACAGACAAGACAAGAGCAAGCCAGGGCGGCACTACTAGTCCAGCCACTGGAGAAAAGGCCATAAGGCCAGTCTGACAGATATATATAGTAAGGAGTACACAATCAAGGTCCTAGCAAGTGAGTAGCTACAGGAACAAGACCAAGCTGTATACAGTGCCGCTGATGATCTTTAGGCGCAAGTGCCTTAGTACAGATATCAGCAGTGTTGGCATCGGAGACCAACTAAACTACGCGGGCCTGGCGACGCTGCTGTAGCTCGCGCATGAGGAAGTACCGCAGCTGGATATGCTTCGCTCTGCCCTCAAGTCGAGGCTCCTGACACAAGAGGATCATGGCCCTGTTGTCAGCCTACAGGACCGGGGCAGAGCTAGGCCGCTCACCTAAGTCAGTGAGCAAGAAGGTCAGCCAGCGGAGCTCCTGTGCTGCCATGGCTCCAGCGTAGATCTCAGCCTCACAGCTGGACTGAGCCACAGACGACGAGCGAGTAGACCGCCACGAGATAGCACCGGACCCAAGGCTAAAGCAGTAGCCCTGAGACGACCGAAGAGTCTCAGCGTCGACTGCACAGGAAGCGTCTGTGTGCCCAGTAAGGACCACTGGTCTGCGTCCACAAAGCACTAACCCCATGCTCGATGTACTTGCAAGATATCGCAAAACCCTCTTAGCTGCCGACCAGTGCTGAGGTCGGTGTCTGCTAGTGGCCACAAAGCGAGCCAGGATGCTGAGAGGGTATGCGAGATCTGGACGAGTGCAAGTCATCAGGTACATGAGGCAACCCACCAGCTCTGCGTAGGGGCCGCTGGGCTCTACTGGCTCCTCACGAACAGGGGCCGAGAGCCCATGGTCTATAGGTAGAGGTGTGGGCTGTGCTGAGGAGAACTGAAGGCCAAACCTCTGAAGGACCTGACGCACCAAGTGTGACTGAGTCAGAGTGATGGTGCGTGCTGCTCTGTCCCTGGAGATCTGCAGGCCAAGATAGCGACGCAGCTCTCCTAGGTCAGTGCAGGTGTGTCTCTTCAGCAGCTCGGCCTTCACCGAGGCCAGTGCGTCCCTGTCAGCAGTAGCGAAGACAAGGTCGTCTACGTAAACGAGGATGTAGAACGGAGTCAGGCCGGAACGAACGAAAAGCGAAGGGTCAGCAGAGGACGGAAAGAACTGCAGGTCTACTAGCGTGGCACGCAGCGTGTCGTGCCACTCGTGGGTAGCCTGGCGCAGGCCGTAGACCGGGCCCCTGAGAAGCCACTGGGTGCCAAGAGGGAAGGTACCAGCGAAGCCCTGTTGTCGACGCAGGTAGACCTGCTTGTGTAGGCTGCCTTGAAGAAAGGCAGTAGAAAAGTCAAATGAGAGAAGCTCGTAGTCGCGCTGTGCTGCTACGTGTAGCAGCGCCCGAAGAGTTGTCATCTTCGGGGTCGGGGCGAAGGTCTGGAAGAAGTCCACCCCCTCACGCTGACTGAAACCTCTAGCCACGTAGCGCGCCTTGAAGACAGGCGGCTCTTCAGGGGGTCGCTTCACCTTAAAGAGCCACCGACCGTCGACTACATTCACCCCAGGCGGGGGAACTGCGTCGACGTAAGTGCCGGTGGACCTCCAAGATGCCATCTCCTACTCAATGGCAGCTATCCACTGAGAGGCCCAAGGTCCCGAGGTGGCCTCAGCGTAAGTGCGAGGGGTCGGGATGTCGAAGGCGTCTGGGTCACCCTCAGGGACTAGGAGCATGGAGCAGAGATGGGGAGCAGCCTCGGAAAGGAAAGCAAGCTCGTACTGCCTGTCCTCTAGAACGTCCTTGCCAAGGGCAGGTGCACCCCCGACGGACGGAGGACGGGCAGGGTCAGAGACCAGAGCGGTAGCGTAGTCAAGGCGGCTGGTAGAGGCAAAGTCAACGATAGCAGCGACAAGCGCGTCAAGGCACGAGACAGGAACATACGGGTCTGTAACAAGAGAGGTAAGAACCCGAGGGACAAGGGGACGAGTGGCACGGAAGTAGTCAAACATCGGGGGAGGGGCAACAACAGGCGACGAGGGAGGAGGCGACGGGAGGAGGGGAGGACGAGACGAGTGGGAATGGAGCAACATAGGGTGGGAGCGCAGGACAGGAGAGACGGAGCGAGCACGTGAGGGACGACGAGACCAAACGTGGGACGGAGGGGTAGGGTCAGGAAACAGCGGAGGGGACACCAAAGGGGAACGAGGAGGAAGACGTGCCGGAGACGAGTCTGGCGGCGGGAACACAGGGCCATAGACAGGAAGGTGAGGAGGTGGCGGGGGAGACACCGGCGAGTGGTCAGGGGAGGGAAGGCCGAGCAGGCGAAGAGCGGAGACCGGCTGCAACGGCGGCTGGTGCCCGAACCCCTGACCGGCAGAGGCACGACGACCGCCGGAAGAACACTCAACGGCAGCACCCCCAGAACCAACACCCCCAGAGCGAGAACTCCCTCCAGCACCAGCGGCACCCTCAGGCCCGGCGGGACAGACGACGCCAGGAGCCGCGGGACGAGGGTTTAGGGTGCCGCGGGACGACGCCAGGAGCCGCGGAACCAGCACCCCCAGAGGCCAAGAGCGGCAGCGGCGGCGACGCCGCCGGCGATGGCGGTAGCGGCTGCGATGGCGGTGGCTGCGATTGCGACAGCGGAGGTGGAGACACCGGGGAAGGGGGACGCGATAATGGCGGGTCGGGGGGACAACCAGAGTCAGACGACTCCTCAACCGGGACAACCGATGGGATGGGAGTGACGTGAGAAACACCAGATGGAGCTAGACGAGGCGGTAGGGGGGCAGGGGCTACCGGGGGAGAGGGAGCAAGGAACAGGGATGGGGAAACCGGGAGACCTCGGTGATGGAAGCGACGGTAGAAAGAGACAGACTCGTCAAACGTCACGTCACGAGAGAGGAGGAAGCGGTGAGACGGCGGGTGGTAGAAGAGCCAGTCAGACGAGTCCAGGGGGAAACCAAGGAAGACGCAAGGGACAGTGCGGACAGTGAGCTTGTCCGTGCCAGAGGCACGAACGTGAGCAAGGCAACCCCAGACGTGGAATGCTGACGCGTCACCGGGGGACCCGGTCCAAAGTCGGCGAAACCTGCGGCCGGTGGGAGCGGGGCCACAAGTTAAGCTGGTGAGCAGCGTAGCGAACAGCGAACGGCCACAGAAAATGGGGGGCATCGGCATGGATCATGGAGGTACGAGCCACCTTCATGACCAAGCCGATGCGGCGTTTAGCTACCCCATTTTGCTGAGGCGAGTCCGGCAAGGTGTAGGACTGGGTGATGGCCTCCGCACGACAGAACTGTCCAAGCCGACCAGAGGCGAACTCGCCACCACGGTCGGAGTGGAGACACAGCACGGGGAGACCGCGGTGGAGACGCGCAGCCACAACCCACGGTAGAAGAACGTCGGGCACGTCGGCCTTCCGCTCCAGGGGAAACACCGTGGTGTAGCGCGTGTAGTCGTCGACGAGCACAAGAAAGTAGCGCTCACCGCGCGGTCCGGGGACGGGGGCCGGGCCCCATACGTCCAGGTGCAGGGTTTGAAGGGGGGCAGTAGCAGGGCGCAGCGAGGAGGAGTGAGGAGCACGGCAGAGCCGGCCCTCGACGCAAGGCGTGCACGGTGGCGCAGTCGAGGGAGGAAGGGCAGGGAGCGACGCAGGGAGGCCTAAGACAAGACTGTGCTGAGACATGTGACGCAGACGCGGGAGAGCAGGGTGACCTAAGCGGTGGTGCCACAGAAGGGACGGGTCAATGAGGGATCGACACGAGCAAGCTGCAGCGACGTGGGAGGACGCACCAACCGGGGGGGAAGCGGTGTCGAGGGTAAACAGACCGGACACCGGGTCCCGGGGGAACGTCGCAAGGGGGGAACCTGAGACTGCCTCCGTACAGACAGCGAACCGCTCGTGCCCAGGGAACGTAGTGGTGACGCCGAGGTCCTGAAGACGGCCGACACCAACCAGGTTACTGGAGAACGAGGGAACGTGGAGGCCTATAAGAGTGCCCGAGGGAACGGCTGGACAGGGAAGGGAAGTGGAACTGCGAGCGACGACAGGACCTGCAGAGGGGTCAGCGAGAGAGACAACAGTAGGCGGAGCAAGCAGCGTGAGTGTGGAGCGGTCGTGGAAGAAGCAGGCAGAAGCACCGGAGTCGAGAGTGAAGGACAGCGAGGCAGTAGCGGAGGATGGGAACGAAGCCGGTGCAGAAACTAGGCTAGGCAAACTAGGCAGTCCTACGCCTGATGCAGCAGGGGAGGCTAACCTACACAAGGGTGCAACACCTAAAGTAGAGTACACAGGGTAATAAGATCCAGCAACACTAGAAGCGTCAGAGCACAAGGCATGCAAAGCAGCACCTATCTGATCCATGTCTAACTCAATGATCGGCACGCCCTGGCGGAGCAGGCTGTGCCA